GGAATAGACTTAAATTCTGTTTTTGATACAAAGATAAATAAGATAAAATCCAGTCATTATGTGAACAGTAAGTTAGCTAGAAACTACACAGCTGTGAAGCTATGGTGATGGGTGTCCTTTTGCCAGAACATATCGTATCAGCTGTACTGATAGGACTGAGTTTCCAAGTAGTGTCTGCTGAATTTGTGCCTGGCTGAAGAACAAGTGTTAGGTCTCCTGAAGAATACTGCTTGGCACTGATGGTGATGGGTTGTTTTGTGTGCGTAGTGACTTTGGTCCCCATGAAGGCTTAAAAAGCATGTCTAAAGCCAGATGAATGGTTTGCAAAATATAGCAGTTCAAAGCAGTTGGCTTGACTAAAACAAGACAAGAAGAGTTAGAGATATGTGCGTGTCTACAAGGTTATGATGTTGTAGGCATCACGGAGACGTGGTGGGATGGCTCCTATGACTGTAGCATAGGAATAGATGGATACAGGTTCTTTAGGAAAGATAGGCAAGGGAGAAGAGGAGAGGGCATCGCCCTCTATGTCAGTGACCAGCTGGAATCCATGAAGCGTGGCCTGGGGATGGATGAGGACCTGATAGAGAGCTTATGGGCCAGGGTTAGAGGAAATGCAGGGGAAGGTGATATCATAGTGAGAGTCTGCTACAGGCCACCTGACCAAGATGACTGAGCAGATAAGGCACTCTATAGACAGGTAGGAACAGCTTCGTGTTCACAAGCCCTAGTCCTCATGGGGGACTCAGATATCTGTTGGAAGGATGGCACAGCAGGACACCAGCAATGCAGGAGATTCCTGGAATGCATTGACAACAATTTCCTTCTTCAGGTGGGAGATGAACCAACGAGAAGGCGTGCCATGCTGGACCTTGTTCTCACCAATGAGGAGGGGCTGGTGGATAATGTGAATCTTAAGGAAAGTTTTGGCTGCAGCAACCATGAAATATTAGAATTCAAGATCCTCAGGGCAACAAGGAGAGTGCGCAGCAAGCTCGCCACCCTGAACTTCAAGAGAGCAGACTTTGACCTCTTCAGGCATCTGCTTAGTGGCGTACCATGGGATGAAGCCCTGAAGGGGAGAGGAGCCCAAGAAGGCTGGTCCATATTCAAGGACCACCTCCTCCCCGCTCAGGAGCAATGCCTTTCAAAAAAGAGGAAAGCAGGCAAAAATGTCAGGAGGCCTGCATGGATGAGAAAGAAGTTCCTGAATATACCTAAAGATAAAAAGAGAATTTACAGAAAGTTGAAGAAAGGACAGGTAGACTGGGAAGAATACAAGGAAATTGTCCAAGCAATCAGGGATCAAGTTAGGAAAGCTAAAGCCTAGATAGAATTAAATCTATCCAGGGACACCAGAGGTAACAAGAAAAACTTTTATAGGCATGTCAATGATAAAAGGAAGGCTAGGGAAGATGTGGGCCCTCTCTGGAAGGAAACAGGAGAGCTGGTCATGAGGTATATGGAGAAGGTGGATGATCTCAATGATTTCTTTGCCTCAGTCTTCACCAGCAAGGGCTTTAGCCACACGGTCCAAGTTGTAGAAGCTGAAGGTGGGGCTGGGAGAAGGAAAATCTGCCCACTGTAAGTGAAGATCAGGTTTGTACCCACTTAAAGAACCTGAAGGTGTACATGGGACATGATGAGATCCATCCATGGGTCTTCAGGGAACTGGCAGATCAAGTTGCTAGGCCACTTTCCATCATATCTGAGAAGTCATGGCAGTCTGGTGAAGTACCCACCAACTGGAAAAGAGGAAACATCATCCTCATTTTCAAAAAAGGAAAAAAGGAAGACTCAGGCAACTACAGGCCATTCAGTCTCACCTCGGTTCCTGGCAACATCATGGAGTACATGGGGAATGAGAAGGCTCTGCTATGGCACATGGGAAATGTGGAGATGATTGGTGGCAACCAACAGGGCTTCACCAAGCAAAAATCCTACCTGGCAAATCTAGTGGCCTTTTATGATGGAGTAACAGAATCAATTGACAAGGAAAGAGCAACTGATGTCATCTACCTGGACCTGTGTAATGTATGTGACACTGTCCCGCACGACATCCTGGTCTCCAAGTTGGAAAGACATGGATTTGATGGATGGACCACTCGATAGATAAGGAACTGGCTGGAAGATCACAAAGAGTTGCAGTCAATGACTCAATGTCCAAGTGGAGACCAGTGAGAAGTGGTGTCCCTGAGGGATCAGTACTGGAACCACTACTATTTAACATCTTTGTTGGCGACATGGACAGTGGCATCAAATGCATCCTCAGCAAGTTTACCAATGACATAAGGTTGTATGGTGTGGGATGCCTTCCAGAGGGACCTTGACAGGCTTGAGAGGTGGGCCCAGGCCAACCTCATGAAGTTTATGTCAAGTGTAAGGTCCTACACCTGGGTCAAGGCAATCCCAAGCACAGATACAGGCTGGGCAATGAGTGGATTGGCGCAATCCTGAGGAGAAGGATCTGGGCATGTTGGTGGATGATAAGATCAACACGAGCCAACAGTGTGCGTCTGTGGCCCAGAAAGCCAGCTCCGTCCTGGGATGCATCAAGAGAAGTGTGACCAGCAGGTTGAGGGAGGTGATTCTGCCCCTCTGCTCTTGTGAGACCCCACCTGGAGTACTGCATCCAGATCTGGAGCCCTCAACACAAGAAAGACATGGACTTATTGGTGCGACTCCAGAGGAGGGCTACCAGGATGATCAGAGGGCTGAAGCATCTCTCCCATGAGGACAGGCTGAGAGAGTTGGGCTTGTTCAGCCTAGAGAAGAGAAAGCTCCAAGGAGACCTTATATCAACCTTCCAGTACCTGAAGAGGGCCTACAAGAAGGCTGGGGAGCTATTTTTACAGGGGCCTATAGTGATTGGTCGAGGGGTAATGGGTACAATG